CCTGTGGGCACTGAGACATTTCAGCACAGATTCTTTCCTCTTTTGAGGCAYAAAGGGAAGGTTCCTGTGGTTACCTGGATGCACCTGTCCACCATACTCTGGGTCAGGCCTTCTGCCTTCTTTTTGGCTTTGCTTATCCTGGGGGAAAAAAAAGAACCAAACCAGGTGRAAATCAACTCTTTTCCACACAAACATTCCCATCAATCTACACCTAGGAGTGAGATCTGAGCAATGCAAGGTCACTCCCTTGCCCAGTTACACACTGAGTAAGAGCCAGCTCCCAACCCAAGAGCATCAAGCACTGCAAAGATGAGGCTGATCGCTCACAAGTGCTGAAAGACCAACTCTGATAAGGAAAAAGATCCTTTTTGGGCCTCCTCAAACCACTTTGCAAAGCCAACCTGATATTCCACAGCTCTGCCTTTACACCCAGTGTTGGAGTTTTTCTGTTTCTTTCTTTCCTCTCCTTTACTCCTTTTYATTACTAGAGACTTGTGACTGCTGTGATGCTCGAAAATCTCATCTGTGCTGCTGGGTCCAGCCCTAAATCGGGCCCAGCCCTAAATCAGACCCATTCCCACACATGCCTTATTCAGGTTTTTCCTGCAGTTATTCCCAAAACCCTCCAGTGTGGAATACTGTAATGTTTCCACCTCRTTTCAGTCCCAAACCCAGAGTGTGATGTACCCAGCACCCCCAGATGTTGCCCAGAACACCTGGGAAGAGAAAATCCCCATGGCAGAGCCTCACCTGAGGTTGTCATCTGCTCCTCCCACCACCACCAGGCTGTTGTCTGCCCGGATCTTCTCCCGGAAATCCTCCATGGCCTCGATGTTGCACTGCAGAGAGTTCTGCCCAATGACAAAGAGCACGGGGGTCTTCATCTCCAGGAGGGGGTCATCCACATCCTGTAGGAGAAGGGGGGTTGGAGTCTGGAAGGGCTGAGCCAGGATGGAGCTGAAATCCTGGGATGATGAGGAAGGAGCTGAAATACTGGGATGAGGCTGAGGAAGGGGCTGAAATCTCAGGATGGGGGTGTGGAAGGAGATGAAATCCCAGGATGAGGGCGAGGAAAGACCAACAGTGAAGTTTCCAGGGGTCAGTCCCAATGGAATTCACTGAGGCCAGAATAAACCCTGCTCAAGCTGCAGCGTGCAGGAAATGCCTTCCAGGTGGAATTGCAGCACCCTAAGAATAAGCCCCTTCATCAGCATCACCGACCATCCCCTGGCAGTCACACACAGCTCAAATGGGAGAAATTTGGGTAAATTACACTGCTAATGAGGGAGCCAGAATATGGGAAAAGAGAGACCAGCACACAGTTAATGAGGGAGCTGGGGCATGGATAAGGAGGGAGCCAGGACATGGGAAAAGAGGGACCAGGCCATGGTTAATGAGGGAGCCAGGACATGGACAGTAAGTGGCCCTGGACATGGATAAGAAAGGAGCAGAACATGGATAAGGAGGGACTCAGGACATGGATAATGAGGGATCCAGACAAGGATAAGAAAGGTCTCAAAATGGGCAAGAAAGGTCCCAGGCCACAGAAAACAAGGGAGCTGGGGCATGGATACTGAGGGAACCGGGTGCAAGACCCCAGGAAGGAGCTGCAAAAACACCTCACAGCAGAGACAAACCAACACAGCACTCCTCACAGCAGCTACTGCACCAAGAATCACAGCAGGAATGCAGCTGTCCCTCCTCTGAAAGCAACACCTTCAAACAAAAATCACACACACATCCTCCCAGAATTATCACTGGACTCCCAAGAGCAATTCCATGAAACAACACAGGGAGATTTAAAGACAAGCAGAGCTCTTCCAACAGCTCCATCTGGTCCTTACCCCTCTGGGGCCATCCACGGTGAGCAGGGGGAAGCCAAGGCACACAACAGCAGTGACATATTCCATCACTGAAACCTGGGCAGGGAGAACAGCAGTCAGCATTCCCAGAGCCCTGCACAACCTGGCAATGAAGGCTGCTTTGCCAGGCTCCTGCCAGGCACAGAAACACCTCAAGAGCAACAGCTTGCTGATTAAAAGACTGATTGAAAAACACTGAATTACTCAAACTGCAAAGGGTCCATGACCACAGTGACCTTGGAAAGAGCACAGGGACAAAGAAAATCCCAGCAGACAAAAAATCCATTCAAATCCAGCTCTGACCTGAGGCTACCAAGTGGGCTCTGAGAGAATCACAGAACCCTGGAATGGTTTGGGCTGGAGGACTTTGGAGCCCATCCCATTCCACCCCCTGCCATGGCAGGGACTCCTTCCACTGTCCCGGGGTGCTCCAAGCCCCAGTGTCCAGCCTGGCCTTGGGCACTCCCAGGGGCAGCCACAGCTGCTCTGGGAATTCCACCCCAGCCTCTCCCCACCCAAAAAGGGAAAATTCCTTCCCAAAATCCCATCTGAGCCAATCCATGGAATCCTGAAATGGTCAAGGTTGGAATGACCTCAAAGCCCATCCAGTGCCACCTCG